CGCCCAATAAATGCTCCCTACGCCTACATAAAAAGGAGCCTGAACCTCTACTCAAAGGATAAATTCCCACACTGTAAACTATGGTGGTTTGCATTCTCCTTTTACATAGGGAAAAACTTGAGTCCTCATCCCGCGCGCCCTCGGCGCTCCGCCCTCTCGCCGGGAAGTCACTTTCTCCAGTGGGATAACAGGAGCTACCGTTGGAAACTGCTCAAAATCCATGCTTGTCCTTCAAGCGTTGCACATTCCCTACTATTACCTTTCTTTTTTTTCATAAATCCCAAGTGTTTTATTTCCAACAGAGATCATAGAGTCTATACTGCCGACAACGGAATTCACACGTAGGAGGGGGAATGCCCAACATTAACTTTGGGGAGCCGAAACCTAGGAGGACATCTGGGAGGTCATGTTTTGGCCACAGGAGAACCCCATACACAACTGGCCAAGAAAAAGCAAGGTGACTGCTACACAAACTAACAAAGGATGCTTCTGGTCTCTGGCATAAGTTATAAATTAAAGCTGTGGCTAAGGTTAATCTCCAGAGAAACCTTCTTTTAAAAGAGTAAATAAACTTCTCTTCAAAACTTACAAAAGTGACAATCTTCAGCAAAGCCCACTGATTGCCTTTCAGGAGCCAACATTCTCCACCGAATTTTGGAGCAGAAAAAAAGGGGCAAAGATTCAGTCCAATGGGGCTGAGGTTTGAATCCCGAATCTTTACTTACCACCAGCTGTGAGAGGTTTTAAGTGACCTCACTGACCCGCAGAAGGATTGAAATGTCAGTAACAATTGCCCTGTTGCTTACTGAGCCGGAATAACGAACAATGGTATGCAAAGCACCTGAACATTAAAATGGCGATAATCTTTATAAGGCCACTTATAAGTGCAAAGCTGCTTGGTTGAGACAGGACACTGTGAAATATTACTTCCTTTCCTTTTTAGCGTAATTCCCCACTCCTTTTATCTAACACCTTATCACAAACACAAATTGATCGTCTATAATGGGGGCGAGCTATACTCAGCCTCCTGCTAGCAAATTAAAATCTGAAAGTTCCTAAAAAAATTAAATTAAATTAAAAAATCAAAAATAAAATTAAAATGCTCCTTTCTTCCAAACATAGAAACTTCTTAAGATTGCAAAGTAAACGCTGACCATCAAAACAGCCCGGCCTAAGGATTCAGTAAACTCAAGGGCCGCTAACGTTTCGGGCAAGATCACACAACCGACCACATTGGAAAACAACATGTCTCCATGATGTGGTCCCTTTGATAGATTCAGGGGCACGTTAGAGCCTGTGGTGTGGGGTTACTGCTGAAGTGACCACATACATTGGAGTTCCGGATGCAACATGGCAGCAATATGTTCATCATGTCTACAGTAAAGGCTGCAAGTCGTGCTGGCCTGG